TTCTGGACCTGTGCGTTTTGTGGTTAAAGTCCCCTGCTGTACAGCAGAAGCACAAGCGACAACACTGAGCCACATATTGCACTGCATTGCTGCACATTGCAGAAAGACGGGCCATATTGTGCTGCAGCTGACACAGCTCGTGTCAGATTTTAGCAGTCATGTTTCCTTCATGTTTTAAACACAGATTTGGAGGACTGCAGGGCAATCCAAATTGTGGAAGCACAGACACTTAAGTCATTTTGATACTAAATGTTTTAGAATCAGTGTTGTTTTTGTTACCAAGCTAGAGTAGTGTTTTGGTATATATGCAGCTGACATAACTTGCACGATATCTATTTTAAGATACGTTATTTTAATATGTAGCTTAACACATATTTGGATACATTTGTTTTCCAAAACACCTTGTGCAGTTGTAATTAATGTTCTACCCCAAGCTTAAATATATCCCTTCTTGTTTATCTCTTATTTTCTAACATGCCACAGGCAAAGCAGACGGTGTCTACAGCTTATCACTCTGACTAATTGGGCAATAACTTAATTGTATTTAACTTGAATATATAGAGCAACAGTACACAGTGCGTACTGTATGACACCAGTCTTTTTTGTTATCTTCTATACTACTGACAATTTCCCATTCCATTTCTTATGTTTTGGTGCAGGGACCAGTTATTCCCCTCAAGAAAATTCTCACAACCACAGCACCCTTCATAGTTCCAACTCCCATTCAAACCCAAGCAAGACCTCAGACGCAGTAAGTAGTACATATACCCTGTGCACTAAGCCTTTCTTGGATTAAATGCCAATTCTACAAGTGCCAAAATTGCTATTCACTGCAATTTAAGAATTAATAGATTCTTAATTGAGAATTTTCCTGGTTAAACTCTCTTTCAAAAACACCCATTTGCATCCCTAATCTTCAACATTGTTTTTTTAAAATGCATAACAATATCTTGCACTTGTTTTGCAGTCCCACGAACCTGGTGATGACTGGTCAGAGCACATCAGCTCCTCTGGAAAGAAATACTATTACAACTGCAGGACAGAGGTGTCTCAGTGGGAGAAGCCCAAAGAATGGCTGGAGAGGTTGTTGCGGTTCTTTTTATCAATGTTTTTTTAACAATTGTAAATGTTAGATACCAAACTTACAATTTGTTTTTCTGCATTATTTCTTACAGGGAACAGAGGCAAAAAGAGACATCAAAGACTGCAGTTGTCAACAGCTTCCCCAAAGACAGGGACTACAGAAGGGAAGCTATGCAAGCGTCAGCAACTCCAACTGGTTCCAGTAAGTCCTTTACATTCCAAATGTCTTCAGTGAATGAGGACAATTACTAATCTGACCTTGAGCTGATGATTGCTAAGGAATTGCTTACCCAAAGACTGAATCTCTATATTACTTACTTCTTCTACGGCTGTTGTACTCCCTCTGTGCTCACTTTTAGTGGCAGGGACAAAATTACTTTAGTTCGTCACTGCCTTATTTCACAAAAATAAAGCATTGGCTTGAACTATACATTTTCAAACATTTGAAACACTGGAAAAACTAAATTGAACGTTTATGCAGCTTAAACTTTTACTTAAACTTAAACTTAAGCCAGTGGGGTTCCAGAGTTGCTGCTCTGAAGAGAGAAAGGGTGAATCTGCCAGTGGGGTTCCAGAGTTGCTGCTCTGTATATCAAAACAATTGTAATACAGTGTGTATAGAGGAAGAGAACACTTGTCTTGTCAGATGATTGTGCAGAGATAGCAGGCTGTAGTAAAAATTAATTGTTCTGTGGTTGGATTGTTGTTGTGGTTTTCTGTTTTGGGTTGGCACTAGAAACTGGTACAGAAATGCCTCTTTTACATTAATCACTCTCTGACTGGGTCACAGGTTCATCTCACTCGGTGCCAATGCTATTTAAATCCGTGCATCTATGAGTGGGGTTTACAGCAGTAGAAAAACCCACAGACGCACGCTTCATGATGTCTTAAATTTGTTGTTCTTTTAACAATGTGGAAACATTTGTTCTTTTTCATCTTTCTTTGTAAGACTGCCCACACAGGCTCCTATTTTCAAACTAAAAACATTGGAGATTTTTTCTCAAACTTCTATGCAATAGTGTTAAATATGATTTGAGAGTCTTTATTTCTTGTGATTTTGTGTACGAGAGAAAAGCAACTTATTGATGGGGGTTGATATCCTGCATTGTGTCTATACACTGAAGCGCAACTGCTAATGTCATGCATAATTGGAAAACAAACATGTGGATCACACTCTGATCTTTATAAAAGTAATGCAGTCAGTGAAATAGGGTATTGAAATATAAACTAGTTAGGTACAAGAACCAGCCACTTACCCAAGTTTCACCATCAAATTTTATGCAACCCCAGCTTCTTCTTTATTTTTTAGTTTTGAAAATAAATATTTTTGGTTCCATAAGTGTCAGATTTCCTTTTGTTTTATTGAGTATTCTTTATACAGAGGTTGCAGAGCTTCTGTTTTTGCTGTAGAACCAATCAGCTTTGGGCCTATAAATCTTGACGGCTTCTAAACCGCTCCACGTTTATACATCGTCAAGTATTGTATAAAGTCTTTGCCCACCACGTCTAAACCATGTCAGTCAATCTCTTCAACTTTATGTGTTGGTGGTTCAGGCAATAATGCTCTATGTATAAGACATTTTGTTATGATTCATATTAATGACATAAGGAATACAACTAGTCTGCATGATATTTATTTTACATCATGATCATATTCTTAAGTGTCATTTGGTCCACAAGATGCCTTACTCCTTGAGCCTGCATGAAGATGATGATGAAGGCCCAGTGTAAGGGCTGGTAGAGCTCTCATCCAAGTACAGGAAATTCTCAGATATTTACATGAACAAGATGCATTTTCTGAACAAGATTCACTCAGTGACTTGACCATCTTTTGCATACACTAATCCAAACGGAAGGGGCCTATGTATGCTGATGGAAAGTTTTGTGTCACATATTGACACATGGTTGAATGTCTCATGATAATCTAATAATATTTTGCAACACAATATTTAGCTTTAAAAGAATTGAGCCACAGAACATTGTAGAATGTTTTTGTCCATAAAGGAAAGTGAACTCATCGTCTTTGTGACACACATCACTGCACACAACGGAACGTGACCTCTGCATTTAACCCATCACCAAAGTGAACAGTGGGCAGCTTTTTGAGCGCCCGGTGAGCAGAGTGTGGGGACGGTGTCATGCTCAGAGCACCTCAGTGGTAACTTGGCAGCTGATGGATTCGAACCTGCAACCTTCTGGACCCAAATCCGCTTCCTTAACCACTGCCCCGCAAAACTGATATGGTATTGTGTTGCTCAACCACACATTCTCAAAAAAGGTTGGATGTGCTTTGCAGTTGGCATTTTGCATTTAGTTTGCTTTCACAAGCATAGGGATTTAGTCTTAAAACACAGTTTTCTGTTAGACTGACTCAGTTTAAACTTGACCAATGCGGTGTTTCAAAGTGGACTTCTGGTGGTCTGACTGCTGCCCGGAGTTGGAGCTAAGTTGTACTCCACCACTTCCTGTCAAAATGGAGTTAAGTAATAGACAAATGGAACCTCTGTTTGCCTATTTCCATTACATCTATCTTTCTGCTGACTACACAGAGTCCGCCGCGGTGGAGAAACCTGCTTCCGCACTTGCTACACAGTCTCAGTCGTCAACTTCGGGCTCGGGAGGCTTAAACCTTTCATCAGGGCCACCCGGATCATCAGCCTCCACAGTGCCCGTGTCTCCGGTCCTGCAGTCGTCAAATCCACTACTTCAGGACCCTCTGCTTCGCCAGCTACTCCCAGCACTTCAGACTGCTGTGCAGCTGAACAATGCCAGTGTGGACATGGCAAAAATCAACGAAGGTAAGAACAACAGCTCATTCTAGAAAGCTTTGGCAGCTGTGTTTCATGCGGCTAGGTGTTTTTATTCTTTTCTGAATGCATTGTTGCCTTACTGGTCAATATAAATAGGGAGTTTGTTTGGCTTTCTAGATAAATAAATCTGTGTTATAAATTTCCCTTAAAAGTTAGAGCTTGTTTAACACAATAAGGATTAAAATGTTGCATCAGCATTTCTTCAGTGTCATTCAACTTTTAGCTGCTGTTGTTCAAGTAGGACTGCAGAGATGAGTTGACAAATAGTGAACAACAAAATAAGTGAACAGGTTGTTGGTAAAACTTGGATTGGCCTCTTCATTCAGATACTTCTTGTCTCATTTAGACAAGAGAATTGTTTGTTTAGCGAACATTAAATTGCATGTTATGAATTATTTTTGCTATGCATCAATGCTATTTTGTTTATGGGTATGAAAGGATTTTATTGCTTTCTTGATCTTGAAAAAACTGAAATAAATCCTCCTCGGGTAAGAAATGCTTCCAGTCATAGTTGCCTTTTAGATTGCTAGTATACAGAAATATGCTTTTGATGATGGTCTTGCAGGATGGTCTTTTGAGACATTCACTGCAACTTTTTATCCAATTCTTCGTCCAGCAATTGTCAACTTTAAAGTCTGTCTGCTAGGGCCAAATTCAGAAAACTATAATGCTTGTTAGGCATAACATTAACCATATTTTATTCATCAATGCATGCCCAGAACGCAATATTTTGTACTCTGTTATAAATTTCATAATTTTGTTTCAAATCCCAAAGTTTGCTCCAGTAAGTATGTTGTTGACTTTGATTTACTGTACACTGCTGGGACTGAGCAGCAATTGTATATTCAAATGAGACATTTCACTACCTTAAAGCTTCACATTCTGTCAAAACCTCCGGTAGGAGAATATAACTAAACCTACTCATCTGACCAAGTACCTGCTTTTGTTCTTGTAGTCCTCACAGCTGCTGTCACACAAGCTTCATTACAGTCGATGCTCCATAAGATCCTCACTGCTGCACCGTCAGCATTCAATATCACTACTATCCTCTCTCAAGCTGCTCAACTCTCCAACCAGGGTAAGTGAGGCCGGGAGTCAGGAAATTACAGATTTACTGTATTGTCTGTGAATTATCTTTTTTTGATGAGAGCAAAGGAGTCGACTTCAAAACGGCTTATGCGTGATATGTTTGTAGCAGCTCAGCAATCGAACCAGTCGCCAATGTCGTTAACTTCCGACGCCTCATCGCCCCGTTCCTACGTTTCTCCACGGATCAGCACGCCGCAGACCAACGCTGGTCCTCTAAAGCCCCTCCTCAGTTCACAGCCTGTCATCTCACAACCAAAAGTAAGAGAAAATAATCACGTTTCTTTTGTTGTGTTTTGGATGATTTTGAATGGATGATGGGAATATGCTATACTTAGTTGAAAACCAGACCAAAATGCTTTTATCAGCAGTCTGGGTGTATCTTGTTTCTGTGGACCATACATTTTGATTGACTCTTTCTATCTTGATGCAATCAGGTGAGCACAATAGTTGCAAAGTTGGCATCTCTTCCACAGCCCACATCCCAGCCGCCCCTCTCCAGTGATAAGCAGCAGAGTTATGATGCCTCCATGTCTTTACCCCCACGCACCCTACAGCGCCAAGGGTAAGAACAAACACGCAAAAACAGAAAAAACTAAAACATAACAAACGTGTTTAAGAAAGGATTTGATTTTACTCTGCATTGGCCTTGTTAGTTCACTGTAAAAACCACTATGGTTGATACATTATGTCTTTGGAAATACATATTTTTAGCCAAATCATTAGTGGAAATATATTGTGTCCAAACATAGGTCAACACATACACATCTGCTCCTCACTCATTGTTTTTTTGGAAATTGTAGTTAAGTGGCTCCACCTGCTGGTCAAAATTGGAATAGTTGTTTCATCAACTCTATTATGGTTTTCTTGTGTTTTGCTAATGTTTTTCATAATATTAGAAGTACAAATGCAGGTTTTGTGATAAGATTTTTTTTTTATCTGATAAATTATTGATCAGTATTTCATGTGTTTTAGTTTAACTAGACAACTTTATGTTGGCATCTTAATTTTTGTGGTGTAATGTTTGTCTTGTCCACTCATTAGAACATTTGTGCTGTCTATCTGTGGGGGGGGGGTTAATTACTTTTATTTATTTATGTTCACATATCATTGTCAAGTGATATGTATTTTGTTTGTCTGCCTTGAAAAAGACATTGAAATTGAAAAGGTATATGTAGATGCTCAAAAAAGTATTTTTGGTTTTCTAACCTTTTCACTGCAGCAGTCAGAGGAGTCCCTCTCCAGGTCCCAACCACGTTGCCTCCAGTAGCAGCAGTGGTGGCAACAGCAATGCCTCCAACTCTGCCTCAGTTCCCTCCAACGCCTCAGGAGCACGACCTTCATGTTCCTTCACCCCTACCCTCGCTGCTCACTTCAATGAAAATCTTATAAAACATGTGCAGGGCTGGCCTGCTGAGCATGCAGAGAAACAGGTCTGAACTCCTGTGTTCATATACAATATACAATGCCTTTTTTCCTGTTTTTATTTTTGTGGACCTAAAACTTGTCATTGTTCCCAAACAATGATCTTATAGGCTTCAAGATTACGTGAAGAAGCTCACACCATGGGGAGCATCTGCATGTCTGACAACTGCACTGAGCTCAAAAATCTCCGGTCTTTGGTTAGAGTCTGTGAAATCCAAGCGACATTGCGTGAACAGAGGTAAGGTGTTGAACTAATGAGTCCAGAAGCATGCACACGCTTGTCGATGTGTAAATGAAACCACACTGCAACTGCCATCTCTGCCTGTTTCCCACAGGATACTGTTTCTGAGACAGCAAATCAAAGAACTTGAAAAGTTGAAGAATCAGAATTCTTTCATGGTCTGAGGACTTCTGGCAGAGAGTCGAGGCAACGTTGGAAAAATACGGGATAAAGACCCATTGCACATAGTTGGAAGCTGGCTGGAGAGCAGTTCACTTCCTCTTGAGCCCAGTTTCGACACACAGGATTTGCGGTTTGGTTTCCTTTGGACCGTTGGACTGGGAAAACTGAGTGGAGAAAATATGAAGAGCTGCTTTGGGAGAAGGGGAAGGATGGGATGCTTTACAAGTTCTGTAAAAAAACCCATGGTGGAGAAAAAAATGTAGATTTCTTGTAGATGTTATTATCTATGTTGTAAATATGTTTTGTAGATTGAAGCCATGGAAAGCCATGCCTATCAAAGCTTTTGACATCCAAACTAATCAACACCTAGGTGGCTACATGCATTAGCTAGCCTTTCCTTCATGTTAACGCATCTGCAGACTTCAAGCTTGGTTCTGTCCGTTTATAGATCATTGAACCATGGAGCATGTTTGGGTCCTGAGTGTAGACGGGAGGGTGTTTTCACACATTTATTTAGCCAGTAAATGTACGTAAAGCATAACACGCAGGTGTCATTTATTGTCTTTCCCCCCCTCTAGTCTATATGAACTGTCAACTTGACCTAAATTATGACTCTGGCTGAACTGTAACATGTAGCCAGGCATGAGGAGCAGCCCCCTCCCTGAAGGTCTATCCCATATGCTCACTGTGGTTCAGTGATCTATGTGCAGCTTTTGGTGACCCTGCATTACTTAGTCTGAATAAAAAACAGTGCCTGGTGGTGTGGTGGAGTGACTGGTTTAAAATAATAAAAGTCAAAACGCGTGCGAGAAAAAAAAAATTAGAGATGTGATGGTGTGCTCCTTTGAACCATTCCCCTGCTCTGGCCTCAGCTCTGCTGCACCGTTTTCAAAGGCTACATCTATATTACTGTTTTCATTTAAGAACATTCTGCTTCTTGTACACCAGCCGCCTACGTTATCCTGGTGTTTAGGGTTCGAAAGTTGGAAGGGTTAAGAACCCCTGCAGGTTCTTTTTTTTTTCTGAGAACCTAAGTTCAAATTAATTCTCCCAAATATGTCTGGACAGAATTTAGCTGTGAGCTCTGGAGTTAACTGCTATCTAAAAATTCCTCAAAACTACAAAAGAGAGGATTTGCTTCCTCTTGATGATAGCCTGAGAGGTCAGTGCAATGTCATGTGATTTTGGACTTTTGGTTTCGTACGCTAGCAGATAGCTTCTGATACAGAGCTAAAGGCTTAGCATTTGAAAATAAAACAGTAATATGAATGTAGTCTCAGTACTTCTCACTCTCCTTTGTGAAATTGTTTATTTTTGTGTGGGTTTTCCTTCCTCTCTTTCCTTCCCCTTCCTGACTTTAAGCTACCACTGGTTCATTCCTTTGTACAGACTCTTCACGGAGCGAGAAGCTTTTATTTATAACAGTTGTAGCGATGAGCAGTGACTCACAGTGACACCATGCATTCTCGTTTGCACCCAGTTTTGGTGGTTGGAGACAGTTATGATGTGGATTGCTTCGGTCAGTGCAGGGCATCAAGAGGTCACATGGTCAAATGTGAAATGTAACTATTGTAATAAAAATATTCAACTAAATCGAGCACTGGTTATTTTATTGGATCTTTAGGGTTTGGATCATACACTAGTGCCTTGTTGAAAGTCTTAAGCCTCGTTTACCTAAAAGTCCCACATTTTCCTTTTCTCTGACCAACAGAAAGATCCCCAGCAAGCATGTGGCATACCTGGTTGTTTATCGTAGCACGTCCCATCCCTCTGGTTTGGTCCCCAATGACAAGCAGCAGGTTTCTGTGCCAGTTTCTTTTTCTTTTCTTTTTTTTTAGGTTCTGTTTCACCATGCTATCTCAATTATTGTCAACAATCGAACTGCACCACACATTCAGTAAAGGTGACCATGTCATTGCTTTGTATATTGTTTCCTGAAGTATATTGACAAGTGAAATAAAATATGCCTCTCCAGGTCCAAGTTGTTTTTTATCGCTTTAAAAAAAAAGTATATATACCGCGTTTATCTTATCTTACTTTCGAAGTATGTTGCTGGTGCTGGTTCTTTGTGTTCTGTTGCTTACTGAGGTTTTGGTTAATTTAAGTATGAAAACTTTTCTCGCATACATCAGCGATATTAGTGTATTCTACTTCCCCCTGCCGACGGCTTTCGGTCATGCAGAGTCGACGCGGAACTGGTCTTCATACAACTCAGTGCTTTGGGATTAAAAGTAATACACACGTATTTTGTATGCAACATTACTCGCTTGTTGTGCAAGTTTGTATGGTCAAAGGTGAGGTAAATTAATAGTTTATTTCTGCAACGTAATTGACACTTTTGAAGAATTTAGCTTAAAAAACAGTTCACCTTTAGCGAATGTGGGTTTAAAATAATTAAAACAAAAATTAGAACAACATATTGATACTGCTTATTTTATATTTTGCAGTCGTTGTTATTCCATTATTTGTTCAGGATCATTAGACAAGGTTTTAATCTTTGAAGACTATCTTTATATACATATATGCTGAAAATAAATTAACTTGGTATAGGTTTGGCCATTCCGAAGAACAGTATCTTCAGAATTTCAGAACTGTTTTTAGTTAAATTGTTGTTTAACATTTTTTATTAAACAAGATAACGCATTACTAAGTGGGATATTTGTTTTATGTTGTTGTTTGTTTTTTCAAACTAATGCGTATAAAATACAAAAATTTATTTTATTTTAAATAGTACTATAGTCCATGGTACTACCATTCATAGACTCACAATAATAATAATAAACTTTAACACTGACGTTTGCTCGGTGCAGGGATACTTTTACGTAATGTTGTGATAGGGCCGAACATCAGTTCAGTTGTTTCGTTTCCTACGCTAAAACCATTTTATTACCGTTATTACCAATTATTCGTGTTCTATTCGACATCCTTGAATCGTTTTTCAATTCATTAGTAACTAAAATACGTTCCTACCAACTATTTAAAGGTGGCGGCGGCGTCTTCTATACTAATTACTTCTAGATGAGGTTATACTTACAGAAACTTCCCTACGCTCCGCGAGATACCGTTCTGTGCGACGGGAAAGAGCCGTACTTTCGAATATCGCGAGAACTGGTCCACGAAATCTTGCTACACACATAAAATACATGGATTATATTACATAGACTGTGGTGCCACAGCACAATAGCCAAAGTGTTTGCTGAAATACCACACAGTGATGGTAAAATGCTATTGTTTGCTTCTTATTTATTAGAGAGGACTTTTAATAAGGTAGAATGTGTTACCCTTTTAATTATTATTTTTTGCATTATGTCTTTGAGCTAACTGTGGCAATGTATGTTTACTTCAGAGAGCAGTGCATGGAATAGTTGAAGCCAAAAAAGGTCATCCTTTAGTCGACCAAGATTTCTCCCGTGCCTTGTTATCTCTGGTTTTTGTTTTCCCTTTTCATGAGGCAGATCTATGCTCCTGAACGATCAAACACACATTATCTGCAGTCATCTGTATATAAAAAAAAAGGAAAACAAAAGGAGGATGTCATGAATTTTCAGACTCGGAGAACCTGAGATTAGAGTCTGCTTGAGTATCTGTGAGTTGGCATGTAACTTCAAAGCAGTCGTAGAAGCTTGCATTTTATCTGCTGTGCTGTGGAAAACTATCTCTGGAAGAGCAGAGTGGATCACAAAGGATGGAGACAGTCTGCCTCCACTGAGATCCTTCTCAGACCTTGATATGGCTCACATCAAAGAGAGGAGAGGAAGCTGTAAGGTGTCGCAGGAAGCCTGTCTGACCTGATGCACGTCTTCGTGGATCACTGTTGGAGACAGTGTTAGTCACACCTTCATATTCATGATCATTGTATGCATACTTTGTGACTCCAAGCTCGTTTTAGTTAAAAAAATTGATTTACAGGTTTGCTTTAAGTGTGGGTTTGTTCTGCTTTAACTAATCTTGTATCTTCGGTGTTGTTGACTTGATTTCTGTAGCCGCCATCAGCCGTCGTTACTCTGACAGTAGGATCCCTTTGTTAGGCAAAGTTCCTACTGTCTCTAACAGGTCACACCTACAAGTGTCTCCTAATGTGTGAAACCAGACAGAGTCAGTGGGGTGTAATCACTCCTGAAAAGACCACTTACATAAACACTGACCCCCACCTCTCTTTCTCCCCATGCCTTTGAAACTTGTTGACACTCATCCTCCCAGCAGGCATAAACACACTCTTTAGTTTCCATGTTTCCCTGTATAAGAAGGAGGTTCCCATCCTGGGCATTGTTGAAGCTTGTTTTCTTTAGAGATTTCTCATTTTCATCAGACTCAGAATCATTTGTTGCACACAATTAGGCCATAGACTGAACTTAAAAAAATGGAATTAGCCATAATGTTGCTAAGTGTGTGTTGCTGAAATAAATCACATGAAGGACGGTAATTTACGAGATTATGAGTTTGTGCCTCATTTGCTATGACCTCTTCTCTAACACAATATAAAATTCAAATATTTATCGAGTCACGTTCGTTTGTAAAGTGTCAATAAAATTTTGACAGTGCCTTGTTTTAATTTATTTTTGTGAATGGAGAACGTTTACGTTTTATTGTTTTTGTCCACTAGGTGGCAGTGTTTAACCAGACATATCATGCAACTTCAGCGGCTCACGGTCATTTAAAGGGGCATTCTCCATCATATAGAAGTAAACGAGCAAAATCTAAACATCCCCTATGACATTTCCTGAAAACAACTACTAATGAAAAAAACCAACACGCAGTTCCACGTGTTTCTTCCAGACGCGTGAACATGTGCCTTCGATATAGACATTAAGGCAAACCGCCGCAGACCATAGAAAGTCACGGGTCATAAGAATTAGAAGGACGTGTCTTCGGACGGTACTTTTCTCTGTGCGTCTGTCTGCTCCAGTCCTTTCATGTCGCCCTCACTATAGATAGATGATGTAACGCCAACGTTTGACTGGCGCCTCGGTGGAGCTAAACATAATTACTGTAATTACAGCGTTGAGATTGTGGACGTTCCCTCCTTATAGCTGTGTCTTTTTCACACTCCCTGTCTCTCTCTCCCTGTCTGTCTGTTGGACAGTTCCGTGGGTTAGGGTCCGTTCTTATTTCTAACTTATACACACACCCATGCATCAAACTGGTTTAATGGCTGCTGTTGGAACATAATTAAGTACAAAAGATTGCAGAAAAATGTCGTGAAAATAGCCTTGACATCGAGAGAAAACGTTTGTGAGAATAAGGTCCTATGTTTATGTAAGGTCTGAATTTATGAGTTGCGACATTACAGAGATAAACTATTGGTTTACAACAACAGTCATTTGTCCAGTGTTATTGGTGTAATATTAGAACCGTATTTCTTTGCATCATTTTGTTGCGATACAATGAGTCTTTCTCATCATGTGACTTTTATTTTCGTAAACGTGTAATATTTTTTCCTTTTAATTTACTTACATAGTGTGGCCCCTCTGTGTGTACAGCCATTGTGTTCCAACATGGCGGCCCCACAGGGAACACCTGGTGTGTTGCAGTGTTTTCATCAGGTCAGTCACTAATTCTAAGATATAAAAGAGAAATTCTAATTGAATTAGTATTCAATTATTATACACACAAAGGATTATTATTATTATTGATAAAATAATAAGATTGCCATTGATATTAATTTAATCATGTGTCATGTTTGGTATGCTTTTAACAGTTGGTGCTGATACAGATCACACACATGTATGTTTGGTATTGCTTCTTGTGTAAGGGCGTGTGTGTGTGTGTGTTCTAGTGGCGCCATCCACCGCGCATATCATTTGTGCGAGTGTCTGTGCGCTCCTGCCTGCGGCGCCGGCGTACACACACACACACACACACATACAGAGAGAGAGAGAGAGAGAGATACGTCACCTTTCTTACTTCAGGTGTGTTTTTTGTTGTTTTTTAGAAGCCCGGACACAGCCTCAAGTCTCTGCCACAGAGCGTCTGATTTCCATAAGAAACGCAGTCGTTTAACGTTTATTCACTCGTCTCCTGAACGCGTCTTATAATTTCTGACAGAATCACCTAATTTGCCCTTTCTTAATCAAGAATTGAAATTCCAAAGATGTAAAACAGCCAGAATTCTTCATTAGAACCTATGACAAACTATAGTCATTTTCCCAATATCTTCTCTTCTCAGTATTTTCTGGCTAAAACGTTTTACACTGGGACTCATTCCGACCCAATTTGTCATATGTCATGTTGCGTAAATCGCAGATTTGCAGGAGTTACAGTAGTATAAGTGATCGATTAGTAAGTATTTATCTTAATAGCTCAGAATGATCTTATTTTAGTAAAAAAAAAAACCCTGCTGGGTTGCACCAAGGTCAAGTAAGTTGATTTATTTCGAAATTTCACAGCAAAATGCAACACTAAAAACATTAAAATTCCACGAAAACAGTGGCGGTTAAAGCAACTGTGGAATAAAATAGTATGATTACACTTACACTCGAAACCAAAGTTGCTGACAAAAGACAAAAAAAAAAAAAACTAATAAAAAGCACTGCAGTATATCTGTGTTACATTTGTCACTCTATAATTCTCTATATTATATTGCGTGTATGTGCGTTAGTGAGATTTTTTTTTTCTTTATGTCCACAGAGTGATCACACGGTCACAGACAAACAGTGGGCAGTGGAGTCTAATGTCCACGCTCTTTGGGACACTCCGTTACCCTGGTGGACTGACTGGCTCCTGGACCAATCGCATCCACATATGGAACATGGCATTATGGAAATAAAATAAAGTATGAATGAAGGGGACTGCATAACCAGCGCTGTCAAATTACAAAGTTGGAGGACGGCGGAAACAGGAAATGGGCGGTGTCTTAGAAATAAAAGTTTGGGTCTGTTAAGCAAAACGTAAATCAAGACTGTTATTATATTGCTACACAGTGGATAGCATCATAATGTGTATAGTATAGTATAGTATAGTATAGTATAGTATAGTATAGTATAGTATAGTATAGATAGACGGAAGGACGGACGGACGGACTAACAGACAGACAGACAGAAAGGACGGACGGACGGACTAACGGACTAACAGACAGACAGATAGATAGATAGATAGATAGAACGTTACTAACTTTTTTAATATTGCTATATACATTCATATTCAAATTACGCAGTAGTGTATAACAAAAGTACAAATACAAGTAATTAGAATTAAAGTGTCAGCTGAAATATTTAAAATAGGCATGGCATGTTATTTTGATAACAACATTTAATTGCATAAAAAAGAAACACAAAAAGTTTTGTTTGTGCAAATACAAATGTTAGACACCAGAGGTGGGGCTTGATAATGAATACCCCCCACCCCTCTCTAGCTCTTCTACTTTTTGAACCAAAAACATTCTCATCTGCATGTATGTTAAATAAAAATCTACTAGGCTAGCACTGACACTGCCAACACCACCAGCCTTTCTTATTTACTTGATGCAGTAAAAGAAACTAAATGGAACCCCATCCAAATGCTTTAAAATGTGAGAGAGAGATCCCTATACGTTTCGTAGGACCTGGGGTATTTTGAAAATAGATTTTCTTTTTACTTATTCTTCCACACTGGAGCTTCAAGAACGAAAACGCGTTGCACTTTATTTTGAAACATCTTTTGGGAAGTAGCGATTTACCATTTTCATACTAATTGATCCGTTCGTGTTCTGACCAATCAGAGAACACGGGGCGGAGCTCTGTCAGACCGCAGCTATTACTTGGGCTCTGCGTCTCTGGTCCAGAGTCCGAGAGGAGCCTGTGGTCCAGCTGAAGGTCGGAGTTCTCATATCAGTTGGTCCGTTCAGGAAAACAAAGCGAAGCTTGGGGCAGCGGAGGAGCGGCGCTGACAACTTTCCGTCATATCTCTTAGCCTTGCAAGGAGTTTTTAGGCGTTCTTTCCTCTCTACTTTGTAGAACTTGGGCTTGAAGAAGAAGGAGACGCGGTGGGTTTTTTTTCTTCTCCCTGCGTCTCCGATAATGTCGGACCGCTATTAAAGATAAACTTCCCGACTTATCCGCGTCCATGCCGGACAGGAAACATCTTCAAGTCTTTCTGTGTGGATTTTGACCTTCGACTGTTGCGGAGCAAGAATGCTTTACTTTTCACCGTAGCTCCATGTAAAAGCTCTTTGTCGCTCAGCTCTTCACTGCTGCTGCCACTGGATATAAGGAGAGGAAGAGTTCCTGTACACTAACCTGGTGTAAATGGATCGACATTCCAGTTTCATTTCTATTTGGCTACAACTAGAACTCTGTGCCATGGCAGTTCTTCTTACTAAAGGTATATTTATTATTATTTATTGTGTGTATATTACACATTTATACCCTCTGGACCGAACAAAGTTTCTGCACGTTTGCTTAAAATTAGCTCTGGATGCTTGAAGTCAGCTTTGACAATAAGAAGAGTGATTAACGTTCTATTGTCAGTGTACATATCTAATATATATATACATATTTATGTTTTAGGTTGTATTACACATTGGAGGTTAAACTGTTAATGAGATTCTGCATATTTATTTGGTGGTTTTCCAGACAAAACACCTCCAAACTACAGTTTACTCCCCCGCCTGTAAAAACCAGGCTTTTATTTATGCCCAGACAGACCTTTGAATTACAGCATCTACCAACAGCAATGGAAACAACAAAAACAGTTCCAACCACAACTTCTGTGTTCCTCTTTGAAGAGCCGTGCTTTCATGTGGAAGTTCTGTAGCCGTTTTTCCAGTCAAAACTCACTTCATTTAACAGTTAAAGTTTCATCCTGGGAAACTTTTGCTTTTAAACTTTGCTTCAAACAACGATATTTCTACTGAAGACTCCTCACTTTGGAGAGTCATAACTCAGTTTGGAGGATTATTGCCATCCATACAGCATGGAGCGGGGCTTATAAGCTTCAGCGTGTCCCCCCTTCTCTCTCTCCCTCTCCCCTCGGCCCACAATGGGGCCTCCCCTTTCTAATGAAATATTCTCCAAATGACCTGCCCGGGTCCTGCTGTTCCAGTCCTGCACAGGGAAAACACTGATCTGATGAATTTGCCCCGGCACTGCAAGTGATGCATTAATAGGGCTACTGCCACCACAGATTGTTTGATTCTAAAGCTTGATTCAAATCGTAGCGTAAATAAAAACAAGATTTTGACGCATTTACTAGTTAGTTCTCAGGTTATACCATACAGAAATCCTTTCTTTTTTGTCAACATAGATATTGCTAGTTGTCAATTGGAAAAAGTCAAAATAAATACTAGGTGAGGGAGAAATAGAAACTACTGGTTTTGTTGGGACACATCCGTGGCTTAGATTGATGTTTTTTCTTCACTTTTTTTTTTTTTTTTTTGAAGCCGTGGGTAATGTAATGAGGGGGCCGGTGTAAAAGCAGGCAGCCATAATGATAAGGTTGCTGGAGGCTCTTCAGTTTGGGACCCGGGTGCACTCTCTTCCCCCTCAGGCTGTCCAGACCACAAGTAATGCTCGGGGGAGGGAGGGAGGGAAGGGGGAGTGCACGACGCACCCACCCCCTCGTTCTTCTTTGCAAGTTTCCATTTTGTTTGAAAGAAATTGACTTTGACAAACAAACCGCAAATTATAAGTGCACAGTTTCCTCTTTTATAACGCACGAAGAAGAAAGGCCGCCTGCACAGAGAGCTCTCACAGTAGAGAGAAGCTGCAGAGTGTGGGAAGAAAGTCTCAGTGATCACATGGTGTCTAACCTCTCGGTCACCTATCTGACTGCAGGAGGCACAGGTTTCTTTTTTTAAAGGTATACCTGTAAGTCATGTGGAAAAGTAGGTGATACTAATTGATAGGTGAAGCTAACTGTTGTGAAACATCTTTTGGAACCCATGTCCCTAACTCTGTCTTCTCTCCGTCCTCTCCAGGAGAAATAAGGTGTTACTGCGACGCCCCACACTGCGTAGCCACCGGATACATGTGTAAATCAGAACTGAATGCCTGTTTCACCAAGGTCCTCGACCCACTCAACAACAACTCACCGCTCACCCACGGGTGTTTAGACCCCATCGCCAATGCGGCGGACATCTGCAGCAGCGGCAGCTCCAGGAGCTCTGACGTTCTCACTGGGGCCTTGTCCACATCACTGGAGTGCTGCCACGACGACATGTGTAACTACAGAGGTCTGCACGACCTGGCTCACACCAGGGACTCCACAGGTACTGAGAAAAAGAGAGAGAGAGATAGAGAGTGTGTGAAAAATAAGAAAATGCTGCAGGACTGAATCTCTGGCTGTGCGTGTGTTTGTTTTTCACAGCAACTGCAAAATTAAATGCCCCTCAGCTGCATTTAATCGATGTGACTCTGGGGAATTTTATGATTCCTCTTTAACAAATATTCACAATTTTCCTCTTTCTTGCTCCAGAGGCAATAAGTTGAAGCTGTAGGCTTGTTCAAGAACCTGACTGTTTATGGACATGCAGACCACCCTTTCCCCCATACCATACTTTTTTTTAACTAATTCCCAGCTTTGCAGAAACTTTTAATAGGCTCCAGGTCTGGAAAGGCAGGGAACAGCCAGTTTACCTTAAGCACTTGGAAGAAGATCAGATATATTCTGTTTTTTTATTATGTGGCAACCATATAATTTTCCCACTAGGAGTAGGAATGTGCCTCATAGAATGAATGTTCCCTGACGAGTCTGCATGTTGGGCAGGAACACGAGCTGTGGGACTTATGAAAGGGCGCTTAGAAAGAGAGAGAAATACACAGCAAGGTTGGTTATCCTAGGTTTTTTTTCTTTTTCTTTTTTTTGCTGAGGTGACCATCCTGACAGCAGACTACAGTTTATTAGTTCAGAAGAATTTCTGGATCTGACGTTGGGACGACCTGACTCATTTGTTTTTTTACCCCCACGGTAACACCCGCATCCACTGCCCCTCCTGCTTTACTGCTCTGGTCCGTCCTGTTCTCCTAAGTTACTGTAGAGCAGTAAAAGCAACATTTTACTGTAAAGGTGAAGTAAAATCAGGAATGTGTGGTATTGGAAAAATCGATGAGGGGCTCAGATATGTGTAGCAGTTCCTGGCTCTGTGACATCAGGAACTCCAGTGGAGCCGATGAAGTCATCGCCCTTTTACCTGCAATATATTGTTTGTTTGGGCTTTATATGTTATGTTAGGTGTTTATTTACTTTGTATTAGTAAAAGTATAGTCACATTTAATCAACTCAGCTGAGTATACCTATACACTGTATATATTTCACAAGTTCTATTCTATACTATGGCATTGTTTTGTATCCCATTCTTCAGGCCTTTGTAAATCTTTTTGTAATGAACTGATGACATGGCACGGTGTGATCTGAACAATCGTTCTCCTCTGTCTCCACAGACGGCCGGTTCCCATCTGAGGGCAACAACAGAAACCTGGTGACCCGTGTCCAGGAGCTGACCTCGGCCAAAGAAGTGTGGTTCAGGGCGGCGGTGATCGCAGTGCCGATAGCAGGCGGCCTCATATTGGTGCTGCTCATCATGCTGGCGCTGCGTATGCTGCGCAGCGAGAACAAGCGGCTTCAGGACCAGCGGCAGCAGATGCTGTCACGGCTTCACTACAGCTTCCACGGCCACCACACCAAAAAGGGCCACGTGGCCAAACTGGACCTGGAGTGCATGGTGCCGGTCACCGGCCACGAGAACTGCTGTCTGTCCTGCGACAAGATGAGGCAAGCCGAACTGAGCAATGACAAGATCCTGTCTCTGGTTCACTGGGGGATGTACAGCGGCCACGGCAAACTGGAGTTCGTATGACTTCCTGCTGGGAAATATGTGACCGTCACCTCCTCACAATTAAGCGGGGCCGCCTCTTATTCGCTGGCTTGCTTTTCTCCTTAAAAGACATTCCCAAATTTCTGTCCTTTGGACAGTTGGGTATGTGTTTTCATTTTTTAAAAATGGAACATTTTAACCAGTGGCAAAAAAAAATACGAGACTGATCTCATGCCGTGTGGTTTTTGCTAGAGGAGCACTTTACTTGAAAATGAAAGGCAAAGCAGTGAGAAGCTGTGTTTAGGTCGGAGACGGCCGCACTGAAGTGGAGACGAGGAGCTCCACCGCTGCGCCCGAGGATCCTGGACTTTTTACACACTGAGCGCTGAAGGATTCCAAATCTGTCTTATTTGCACATTTGTATAAAGAAAAGAAAATGTCATTCCTTAAAAAAAAGAATCTTACACTGACAGCAGGGTACAAAATGGACTTGTGTGAGGAGTAAAAAAAAAAATCGATGAGGGGCTCAGATATGTGTAGCAGTTCCTGGCTCTGTGACATCAGGAACTCCAGTGGAGCCGATGAAGTCATCGCCCTTTTACCTGCAATATATTGTTTGTTTGGGCTTTATATGTTATGTTAGGTGTTTATTTACTTTGTATTAGTAAAAGTATAGTCACATTTAATCAACTCAGCTGAGTATACCTATACACTGTATATATTTCACAAGTTCTATTCTATACTATGGCATTGTTTTGTATCCCATTCTTCAGGCCTTTGTAAATCTTTTTGTAATGAACTGATGACATGGCACGGTGTGATCTGAACAATCGTTCTCCTCTGTCTCCACAGACGGCCGGTTCCCATCTGAGGGCAACAACAGAAACCTGGTGACCCGTGTCCAGGAGCTGACCTCGGCCAAAGAAGTGTGGTTCAGGGCGGCGGTGATCGCAGTGCCGATAGCAGGCGGCCTCATATTGGTGCTGCTCATCATGCTGGCGCTGCGTATGCTGCGCAGCGAGAACAAGCGGCTTCAGGACCAGCGGCAGCAGATGCTGTCACGGCTTCACTACAGCTTCCACGGCCACCACACCAAAAAGGGCCACGTGGCCAAACTGGACCTGGAGTGCATGGTGCCGGTCACCGGCCACGAGAACTGCTGTCTGTCCTGCGACAAGATGAGGCAAGCCGAACTGAGCAATGACAAGATCCTGTCTCTGGTTCACTGGGGGATGTACAGCGGCCACGGCAAACTGGAGTTCGTATGACTTCCTGCTGGGAAATATGTGACCGTCACCTCCTCACAATTAAGCGGGGCCGCCTCTTATTCGCTGGCTTGCTTTTCTCCTTAAAAGACATTCCCAAATTTCTGTCCTTTGGACAGTTGGGTATGTGTTTTCATTTTTTAAAAATGGAACATTTTAACCAGTGGCAAAAAAAATACGAGACTGATCTCATGCCGTGTGGTTTTTGCTAGAGGAGCACTTTACTTGAAAATGAAAGGCAAAGCAGTGAGAAGCTGTGTTTAGGTCGGAGACGGCCGCACTGAAGTGGAGACGAGGAGCTCCACCGCTGCGCCCGAGGATCCTGGACTTTTTACACACTGAGCGCTGAAGGATTCCAAATCTGTCTTATTTGCACATTTGTATAAAGAAAAGAAAATGTCATTCCTTAAAAAAAAGAATCTTACACTGACAGCAGGGTACAAAATGGACTTGTGTGAGGAGTAAAAAAAAAAATTCAGTGTTTGACTGTAGGTGTGCACACTCCTCTGTGTACATTTCACAATTCAAGCTTATTGTAAAGATTTTAAATATATATAAATATATATTTTTGTCTGACAGAACTGACTGGTCTGTGTGTCTTGTTCTAGGTGAAAGTCCAACATCTCTTTGTGATCAGACTATAAGCTTGATTGTGAGTGTGAAAGAAAATCTTCCATTAAAAGTGTCTTTTTATTTATATCACAACTGGTTCCGGTGCTTTTGTGTACATTTACTTTAAAGAGGCGATCAGTGACTGGAAGAGAAAGTAGAGATTTTCACTTGTTGGAAAATGTTCAGAAAGACGATGAACAACCAGCTGAATGTCTTCAGGAAGTTCCGTGATCAGTGGGATCATAGCTTGTGGGAAAAGCAGACAGCTAGAGTCAGATTAGGTTAGGTTTGAAGCTTAACAAATTGGACCAGGGTTGCCCAACTGAAATACATTTCCAGGGTGTTAAATATATGAACACATCCCAGTATATGTGTAGTATATATGTGTGTTTCATAGAGGTAACTTCTTTTTTCTCAGAAGTTTAGTTTAATGTGATGGAGTGAGGTCACAGTGAGACTCATCTGCCTCTGGTACCATTGGATAAATACATCTTTTTCTCGACTCAGCAGTAGAACTATTTATGTCAGAAGGTGCAGAGTTCCTGTGTCAGTGGAAACATTCGTCTTTGTCTACCTTTCGTTGAGCAACGGTTTGACTGTAGTTCCTGCGGCAGTTGATTGATTACCATATATCTGTTAGTACGACAAGGTGGAGGTGATAAAAGTGATAAACCATCACAGGTCAAACGTTATTATTTCAACAATATAAGGTTCAATATGAGTTCAGTTGAATGACGTGTATTCAATCCCATGATATTACTTAACAAGCTGAGAAATTAGGAACCAGATTATTTAACTGTACACATAATAACCACTAACTATCTCTCTCTCTCCCACTCTTTCTTGTTCTCTCTTCCTGTGTGTGTCAGATGTATCTTATTCCATTGGGTGTCGTGTTCATTCCTCACCACAAACACACCACACTTGACTCACATTCAAGCCCACACTACACATCCTGCTGTCTCAAACACCCACCAAAGACCACTAAATACCTAGAGTATTCATACGCAACAGAAAATAGGTCCAAAAAAAAATTCTAGTTTTATGTCTGCAATGATTTTCATTCATCATTTTACCAAATTGGAAAGGGAGATGGAATGTTCTGTGGCGAGGGTGTGTCTGTGTACGCAGTTATCACTTCACAAATTTGGAAATTAATCCGGTGGTGCCAAAACTGAATCATTTTCAGGGCATCATGTGACAGTGTCTCTTTTCGAGGCATGGAATAAAATGCAAAATTATTTCCACAGAACTTTAAATAGAGAGTAGTATAATCCACAGGATTTTGTCAAGGTCGGTAGAGGTGAATCCATAGATTTTCTAGGATGTAAAGGCTTGTGTAGAGCACTCGATCAGAGAACTGTGGGGATGGTGCTCTTTGAGGGATATGCCTCTCCCTTTGTTCTACAAACACAGACAAACCTTTCTGTGGAAGGCTTAGTTTTATCTCCTCTGGCCAATTGATGACGTTTCCAGTGTGTGTCACTGTTCTCCAGCTTGTTCCTAGGAACTGTTAGCTCAGCTTGGAGTAGTGACACATCCTGTATAATAAAACGTATACATTTACAACAAATACATTTTCACCTCGAGAACACCTTTTAGCATTACCTTGATACATTTTCACCTCGAGAACACCTTTTCCCGGTTCACATTTACTTGTGGCACATCTCTGGCAAATGTATTTTCAAACATCAAGAATTGGAATTGTGAAAGTGTTTGGTTCTGACAGCTTGTTTAGTCAGGGAGGTCAGGTTTCTGTTGGTCTCCTTCTCCAGGAGCCTATATTTACATTTCAGGAAGACCAAATGTCGCCGTCGTTGCAACAGGGCAACAGTCAGCACATTGTGTACTGTCTGTGTCACACAAAGCAAGATGGCAACGTTGAGGGTTGAAAAGTTCACACCCTACAGTGTCCCCCTCTGTCACCGTGGTTACCGTGGAAAGACGCCCTGTGAGTCGGTCAAAGTCGACGTGCGCTTCACTGAGAAGTCTGTGTGTCCGTGCCGAGCGCTGACCCCTGTTTCTTTCCATTAGGAGGACAGGAAAACACTATTAGCAGCTAACCACTTAATGGCAGTTTGCATTAGCGTGACTCAGCCCACACTCAGCGCATCCCCCAGGTCTATTATGCTTGTAATAATAACAATGTCCTCAGTGCGCCTGGACTAATGTTACTGCTGTTTTCTTTAGCCTGATTCCACTTTGCTGGATCGCCCATTGGTGTCAGGTGGCTGCAGAGCACCGAGGAAGTCACACTCACATGGTTTAAATCTGTTCCAAATGAAAGGTAGAATGTGAGGGAATGTTTGTAACTGTTGGTAACAAAGACCAGTTAGAGTTCCCTTTCACTCCTGCTGGGAGAGCTATAAATACAATTTGAACGCTATGATCAATGTGTTGAGTACAGCATAAGGATTTGACACGATGACCTGGCCAAGACAGTGAGGGAGAAAGGTGTATATACACAGGGCACCAGGTCAGACCAGTGAGCCTGATTAACAAGGAAGTCACAGGACACGTGATGACACTGATTAACCTGGAGAGAGAGACAGAAGATACAGAAACACACAGACCTGGTACTGAGGGTATTATTAGAATGATTAACTTAGACTCCGTTAGCCATTATAATGACTGACTCATACAAATTTACAGTTTTTTTTTTAAACAGTGTCAATTTTACATTTTAGCACACTGGGCTAAAATCAAATGAACACTATGCATGGACAATTTGGTCCCCTCCCAAAACAACACATATGTAATTTTATTCAGACACCCTCCCGTCAGCCCCCCCCCCCCCCCCCCTCCCCACTCCGCAACAGACAAACATCCTCACCAGCAGCGGCAGCACGGCCATTTTACCTGACACTAGGTGGTCTCCTTGTTTGCATTCGCATGCAAATTTAATGACGTGTTCGACCCGCCACCCTTCAAAGAGTTTCAATTTGTTTTCAAGCAGCTTTATGTTGCTACCCCCTCCCACCAATCATTCCCTTTCGTTTATTTTTCATTATTTATGATTGGAGGTATGTTTTTTTTACAGGCCTTAACAGATTTGCTGCCTTTGTCAAGACCCTTTGCTCAGCAAGCCTGAATATTCTTCCTTTTCTGGGGTTTCTTTTGTATTTCAACCTTGACCATGAGCTAGGTCTGAGGTGCTTCCTTTGGATTGTTGCTGTCTTAATGCCCTTAAGAAAGTCAGCAATGGTTTAGAGGGGCCTCCTGTCCACTGTGACAGTAGCAGCAGCAAACGACACACGGTTAAACACGTGGAGCCTGTTAACACCTGAGCCCAGCACTAGGTGAATAACTCTGTGGGTATGAAAAGGCCTTTAAAAGACGTGGAACAAAACACACTGCTGAAAACATTTTTTTTATCAGACTATATCATGAAGTTACTACATTTGTATGCCTGTATGTTTGTATCCATCCATGTCAACATAAAATGTGTATCAACTAAATATTTATGAACTAATACATATTTACAATACATAATTGATATTGGAGTTATTTAAAAAACCCTTTAGCATGTATAATTTGGTGCTGAGCAAAGTGGGCGGAACGCTTGTGTTTGCTCCTGTTGTTCGTGGGACAGGTAAAGGGGTGCATCATCGATGTCCTTTCGAACGGAGTGCGACGAGTGTTTGTTTGTTTCTACTTATTATACAGGTGAGTGGAAAACATAGGAGTTGTAATGATATTATAAACAGTCTGTTTGAGACAATTTGCAAACTTTTTTTTCTTAAACTTGAACATGTTTAATAGCAGTTGTGAATTTTCCTACGGTAACGCCAACATGTGTCTACCACTACGGATGAATGCTGCGGTGGATGCGACGTCAAAACGCTGCAAGTTCAACACGGATAAAACGTTGAAAATGCCCCGACTGTATGATAACTGTATGTGATGTAAAAACGTCTATGAGGGTTATGAGTACATGGGTTTTCAATAAATTTGATGCAAAAATAAAGGGGAAGTGAATGTGTTTTTATTCCTTTTTTTAACCCGATTTGTTGAAGTTACTGCTTTGTTATGCATGGTTTTTGTTGCTGCTGTTGCTGCTGCTGCTGCTGTTGTTGTTGTTGTTGTTGCGTGGCGAATAACAATGATGCTTGTCCTAAATAACATGATGCTTGCTTGTGCATAAATAACATATCTATATACTAAATAACCAATATTTTTTTCTTTTCTGCAGCCTGCTTCCAAAGGACACATGGTCCTGAGTCCAAGGCTGGGTGGTTGGGGGAACTCTGGGTAACATGATTGTGACTGTGACCTGCAACATTTGAAGTAATGGCATCTAAAGAGAAAAATATTTGAAATGTTTAAGGATCAGGCATGTTACAGAAAATGACTTTCAGTGGTCCAGATGCACAAAAACTTGTGAATTAATATTTTTTGTTAATTTGATAATTCTAAGACTGTACTCTCAGTGAAATGTCAATACAGAGGCCAATCTAGCCTCAAATGCACAAGAAAGTCTCTAACAGTATGAAAGTGAAGCAATACCTGGAAAATATTTGAAAATGATGAAAGACCAAAGGTGCAGCTTGACTGACAAACACCAGTGCATGCCGCGTATCATTTCCTGATAAATCCGGCATGCGCGTACTTTTAGTTTGAAAGTCTTTCTTCAAACAGAGCAGTGAATGGCGTTAAGTTAGGAAATGCTAAATGAGTGCATTCCACTTTTTGCAGATTAAGTGTTTCCGTCGTACATTCCGATGTCTGCGATAATCTCGTGGCGAGGCGGTTAGCCAAATGTGTGGCGTGATCGCATACTGACACATACTGGCTGGCCAGTTACTGGGCAAGTTTTCAGAAACAAAATACAACACTGATATGGACAGTGATTCCAGACTTTGCTTTATTTTCATCAAATAATCTTTTCATATTTTTCATATTTTTAATTGTTTGAAAACAAAGTGAGCTGACTTATTTACTTTATATGACCAGTAATATAATGTGCTAGCAAAACCTCAAGGGTTTTATATATTAAAAAACAAATGCCTCAGCTGTATTCCCCATCAAAACATGGACAAAACATTGTTCCTGTTTTATTTACGACTCCTCACTACACTCCAGCTAAAGCC